ACCTTCCCCCATGACATGATGGGATGGGGGGTGAGTCCAGGGGTCCCCTCGACCTTCCCCCTTGTTGTGCCAGGATGGGGATGAGCCTGGGGGTCCCCTCAACCTTCTCCCATCCTGTGCTGGGATGGGGGTGAACCTGGGGGTCCCCTCGACCTTCCCCCTTGTTGTGCTGGGATGGGAATGGGCCCGGGGGTCCCCATGACCTTCCACTGTGCCGGGATGGGGATGAGCCTGGGGGTCCCCTCGACCTTCCCCCCTGCTGTGCCAGGGATGAGTCTGGGGGTTGCCTCAACCTTCTGCCGTGTCGGGATGGGGATGAGCCCAGGGGTCCCCGTGACCTTCCCTCACGCTGTGCCAGGATGAGGATGAGCTTGGGGATCTCCCCGACCTTCCCCCATGCCATAATGGGATTGGGACAAACCCGAGGGTCCCCTCGACTACTGAACCCCCCCAAACCCCCGGATTTTCCCGACAGGGCAGCTGGGAGCCTCCTTCAAGTTGTGGTTTGAGCCGGCAGCGCTGGTGGTGGAACACGGCGGATCGGTCCGGTTTAAGTTGAAGACGGACTGCCAGGATGTCAACATGACGGGCAACGTGGAGACGTCGATTCGGAAGCACGTGACGAAGCCGAGGCCGGGGGAGTTGGTGGTGGATCTGTTCAACGTCACCCTGTGGAATTCCAGCATCCTCGGCTACTACTGCTGCTACTCCGTGAGGGATGTGGTGTCCACCGAACTCATCATCTACCGTAAGGCGCTGTGGGTTAGAGGTGGGCGGGGGTGGGTGTCCCTGCCCATCCCGGCACGCCGGGATCATCCCCATCACGCTGGGAACATCCCGTCACGCTCCATCTCTCCCAAGGTGTACCGGACCGGCCGGTGCTGGACCAAATACCGGCGCTGGAGGTGGGGAAGAGCCACGAACTCGTCTGCTCCGTGGGCGAGGTCGCGCCGATCCGGAACCTAACGGTGATCCTGCGGCGAGGCGGTAGCGTTCTGCACATGGAAACCTTCGAGCGGAGCCAGGATGAGGTTGGGGAGGTCCTGGTGACCCACCAGCTGGTGGCACAGCGCTGGGACGACGGGCAGAACGTCACCTGCCAGGCACTGCTCGACCTGGCGCCCTCCGGCCCACGCTTCAGCAACACCTCCGACCCGCAGACCTTGGCCGTCTACGGTAAGCCAGCACCGGCGTCTCACCGGCGTTTGCTCCGCCGTGGTTGCGGCAACCGTCTCATCCCGGGGTGTTTCTCTCCGGTGGCAGAATTCCCGGAGGATCCCAAGCTGGAGCCTCACATCTATGTGGAGGTCAATGAGAGGGTGAAAACCAGCTGCGCCGTCGGTCACGTCTTCCCGGTGCCGCGGTACGAGCTGGCGCTCGCCAACCAGACCCTGAATGTCTCCGTCAGCTTGGACGGGGACC